GGGACCGGGGGGGGGGGGCTGAGAGCCGAGCCAAGGGCCCCGCCACAGGACCGCGGAGGGGAGCCGCGAGAGCCCCCCGGGGGCCATCGGCAGCCTCCGCGGACCACGCAGCCACACACAGACACGTAGTGCACACACATTCAGGAGACAGGGGGCTCGTCGAAGGGCCTAACCCCAGCGACACGTCTCTTTGTCCTCCTCTGTTTCATCCAGAGAATGGGGCAAACTCGTTCTTACGACTCGCGCGGCCAGTCAGCCCGCAAAGCTAGCCGCAGGGCGCTGGGGGAAGGGCAGGGGATTGTCGGGGCGAAGGGTGAGGTGCGGGGGGGGGGGCGTCGTTGACTCATTTTGCGGAGAGTGTGATGATCCGCTGGAGGGAGGTCGAGGGAGGGGGGGGGGGGTAATTGGATGGAGCCTTGGAGACAACGCCAGCCCCGCAGGCGCACGGATTGATTCCTGAGAGACAGAGCGGTGGCGCAGGGAGGGACGGGGACGTGGCGCGGTGACGCCGGGGGCGAGAATGAGAAATCACCCGGACACCTACGAGCACCAGCAGCAGGCAGCCCGGGAGGTTTCCTTTCTCACTGGCTCTTCGTTTTTGTTTGTATTTTTTTTTTTTACAGTGTACACTTCCCCGCCTCTCCTCCCGGACGACGAGCGCAATCCGCGCGACGTTCGTCGTCGTCGTCGTGAGACAAGCGCGGGGGAGGCGGCGGTGGTGGCGCCGGCGGGAGGGAACTGCGGCCCAAAAAAAGGAAAAAAAATAGGACCGAAGGGGGAAGATGGCCGAGCGTGACGGATGATGAAAAATGACGAGTTATTGTCACTCTGCCGCGCCACGCCACGCTCTACCACTTGCGCCCACAGCGGGCGGCGCTGCTCACCCCTCGGCCGATGCCGGGGAGGGGGGGGGGCAAAGGGGGCGCCAACTCCACTATTAATGAGGGCCGTGTAACGATGTGTAGCGATTGGCGATCAACAAGACGAGAGAGGGGAGGGGAGACGAGCACCACGACCCACAAACAGTGGTGTACTGGAAGTCCGCAGCTATGTAAAGAAATGAGAGTATTTTTTTCCATTACCCGCCTAGTTTACCTGTTACGTAAAAAACAAGAAGCACCGTCGTCGCCCCAGCCAAAGCTTCCGTCCGGCCCTGTTATAAAACGAGAAAGGGCGAGGAAAAAGAGGGGGTGGGGGCAGGTACTTTTCCTTTTAGTAAAGGGTCTTAGTGACTGCCTAAAAAGATACGCTTGCAAACGCAGTTAAAATTTGAGATACATCTGAAAGATTGGCAGTTCGCGTCAGTGACGAGCGCGAACGGGTTCAGGGGAGCTCACGCCCCGCGTCGCCCCGTCGAGGTCACCAGGGGGGTTATCGAAATGCCGTTAGAGCGGGGCGGGACGGGGGACGACGGGGAGGGGTCGTACCGGCCATACGTCGCACCTGTCAGATAAGCGGTGCGCAACGGTCCGGGAAAAGGAACGCTCGAGGGGCTGGAAACGCTGGAAACAACGGCACTTGAACCCGCTTACCATAGCGGCGCGGGGTGGGCGAGTCGCAAGTGGCGCCACCCGGGTAAGGCAACGGGGAGGCTATTAGCAGATGATACCTTTAAAACCTTTTGATTGAAAATAAGGAATAACTTTAATAACTTTAAGGTGTCAGCTTGCTTTTGCTCGCGATAAGGACAGATAACTAAGCGGAGACCAGAAAACAATTTCTTTGGCGCTGGGAGAATGGTGTCCGCGAGTGAGTGGCTGGCTGGCTGAGGTTCGCGTCCAGGCGCGGTTTTAAGGGGGAGGGGCGGACTCCCCCCCCCTCCCCCCGGGTCGACCTAAATCGCCCCCTTCGGTAGGTAGGCAAATAGCTCCGAAATAGTGGGCATAGTAGAAAAAGTAGGCAACCCACAGCAAATCGCCCCCTCCGTCAGACGGACTTAAAACCGCGCTTGTTCGCCCCAGGCCCCTTCCTTTACCCCACCTAACAATACTGCGCCAGGCAGGGCAGACCGCGCAGGCTGCGCGGCGCGTTACCCGTCCCTGCACAACAATACTAGGGCCACCGACGCCGGCCGCTCTAACCGGCGACTTATCTCCACCACAACGCCGCTGGTACGCCAAGGACCTAAGTCAGAATGTGCCTCGAAAATAAAAATATTTATTCGCCACTCTTGGTAGACAGGAGTTGCCACACAACGGTTGGTGGTGGAAAAACATAAAACAACCTCTGAACGTAGGAAATACTCACCCCCCACTCAAACACAAGTGCGGTGTAAACGTACGTCGTTTCGTAGAAGGCCGAACGTCATAGGGTAACACGGGACGGTGCCCTATGCCATTAATGCGGCTAACGATACTAATAAGCTATTTGAGAACCCAACTCGACCCTAGAACTATCTCAACCGGAGGGTGCCACTCCACTTCTCGAAAGACATTTCTTGCACAAATCAGCACCGGTAAGCTCAGCATACGATTGAAAACCCTCCCTTTCTTATTGCTGGTCGGAGAATAGCTATTTGCATATGTACTAGAACTTACCTTGTAGTGCCTTACCTTGAGAAGAAACGGCACGGCGACTTCCTAACCTCCAATCGCCAACCGGGGGTGTCGGTGGTATCTTCGAATCACGGACACCAAAAACGACTATCAATAAAACATCACTGACCCGAATGACACAAGAGAACACTTCCCAAAAGCTTTCAGTTCATCAACATAATCAAAAACGAGATCACAACCACTAGAAACCCTCAACAGGTCTCAACACGCTCAGCCGCCGGCGGTCGGTCGGTGTTACCAAAACAACAGAGTCTGGCGTGGCGTGGCGTAGCACTGGCACTGGCCGGTGGGGGAAGGGAGGGGATGTGAAGGATAGGGAATGCCAAAGGACTAGCTCATTGGTAATTAAAAATATAAAGGCGTTTATTAAACTATTCATACCTAGCCAATGGGTTAAATAACTATTTTAGTATCACAACCAATATTTTCTTTGCAGAACATAATGGCAAAATATTGAATAGAAAGTATGATCCGAGAACTGCAATGATCATGTCTGCTGAGTGATTGATACGGACCGCCGCACCATTTCGCGAAATTATTACATTGATTAGAAACAGCAATATACAGTAATTGCCACTTGAATTTTCTGCCATCTCAACAACAACAAAAAAGAGGCAAAAAAACACAAGAAAATAACACGACATCAACAATACGCATTCCGACTCTTCTATCAGCATTAACAAAGAAAATAGAGAACAATAACAAAACTAAACAGAAACATTCTATCACATACAAACATCAGAATATTGTCTTCTTTGGCCCAAATTTCAAATTATTATGGGTTTTTAGTCATCATATAAGTAAAAGCGAAGATAGATGTTATTTAGTTTTGAAAAGAATTTGAACCAAAGTAGATGCCAATCTTAAGCTGAATTATTCATGGGATTTGAATTTTCTTTTGCACTAATATAATATTGATCATTTCTCACAACATAATAAACCACATTACTTTCACCCAGACATATCTAGCCGGATACCATCAGTACAACAAGAATAAATAAGGATAAAAATAGACATATGCTGAACCTGCAGCATTAACTTTACCCATTTCTGACTGTAGATAAAACAAAGCTTTGGTTTCGTTTCACAAGGCCAACAACCAAATTGTTCTGCGCTACTTTGATACCTTCACAGCTCTGTGCACTCACCTATCAACATGTTAGGAGCAGCAATTTTTCCCCTAATGTTTTAGTATGTCTGCAGCATTACAATTCAATTTCTTCTTCACAAAAGCAATACAGAGTAAATCAATAAATGAAAACATACATAAAGTACTAAAGTACTACAGAAAAAGTACCTAGTTAACTACATACTATATACAATAGACACAAAATAAAATATTGTTCATAGATACAATTGATACCTTAACCCTTGGTGCACATAATGTTACTGTTAATAACATTGTTATTTAAAATATCAGTTCACATGCCTTACTTTATCAGTCAGCACATATAACATAAAGATGATTGGTAAATCTACTGAGAATGGTGACAAGATGAACCTAATTGCTGCCAACAAAAGTATCCTACGATTCTAAGGTAATTTAGTGCCTTGATAAGTTGAGACTATAAAATCCCCCCTTTTTATTACATCGGTAAAGATTAGATATCTAAATAATCCTACAGGGATGACAGACTAATGAATACATACCAGATTTTAATAGTTTCATTTATGCCTTAAGCTACTCTCATCTAATTTTAATATAGGAAGTTCAAAAGAAAATAAAGTTTATGTACAAAATAAAAATATTTGTGCATCAACAGACCAGCTATTCCTTTTTTCTTTTCATTCTACGTTCGGAGTTTGAATGATCTATATAATAAAAAAGACGTGATCTATATAAAATCTAGGAAATTTGACAAATGAATTAAACTAATCATCATTAAAATTTGAAGAACTTTTAAAGAGTGTGTAGCGGCGTTCATCAAACATTTCCTTAGCATACATTACTTGCTGAGATACCTATAAAAAAGTGAATCCATTTTAAGATTAGATTCTGAGCAGAGATACTTTGATACTTCAGTTGAAGACCTAAAGTATGTGGTGAACTTACCCATAAAGCTACTTTCTCAGAACTGCAGCGAACCAATGGACCCTTGAAACCAGGTTCGCCAGTATAATTCCCACTTGCAATTGTGACATTATCAGCTCTAATTTTCAATTTAATGAAATGCAAAGTGTTTGAGCCTTCTTGCTTTGCTACAGGTTGGCATTCTTTTAGTTCACTGTGGAAAATGAAAAAAGAAAGTAGTTCAAATTAGATAAGAGACCTGAGTTACTAATAATCCAAATGGATCATTGAATTTTCATCTTGCCTCAAATGTGCTTGCAAAACAACAGTTGCATTGAGTTGACTTCCAGATTGGGACCCAGAACAGGAAAACACTCTGACTTTTTCACTTGAGACAAGGATTCTTAGGTCTTCTGTTCCACTAAGTAAAACTTCATATGCCATCAATCTAAGGAAAAGAGAAGAAACATTATAACAATTGCAGAAACATAAAAAGGGAAAAAAGCATTTAAACTGGTTTAGGTAGCAAACTCACACTTCAGAATAGTTTTGTTCATTTATAGAATACAGATACTCCTGGCCTTCACTCTGTTTAGCCGAGTAAGGTGGGAGTAGACCACCTGGTCCAACCACGCACCGAGGTGCTCGGAAACGCGTAGGGGTCAACCTACTAGAGTCCCTACACAAATCTCTAAAGGCACTTGCTCCCTCAGATGCAAAATCAAGAATTCCAATAACTGGCTTAGTTACTGTGCCCACTAACCCTTTTCCAAACCCTGCTACAAAGCCCTGAAAAATAAATAAGCAATAAGAATATGGTTATAATAAGACCTGTTACTATCAGTCATTTTCATTTGAACTTACTGGTACTCCTTCATTTACTGCTCCATCCCAGGGCTGTTTTACGACACTTGTGATTCCACCGAGAACACCAAATCCAAAGCCTTTTAGTCCAGATGTGATGTGTTCCATAAAGGTATTGCCACCTCGTATTCTCCTCCTAGCCTCATCATGTTGCTCATCCATCATAACATGACCTAAACCATCACCAAGGGACTCTGCAACAGTCACCAATCAAAAATGGTGTCAAAATTTCAAGAACTAATCCAAAACAACATTGTGTAAAAGGTAATTGATAACAATATAAATGCATTACCGGTGAATTTTGCAGTTGAATTGGTGAGGCCATGGGTCACGTTTTTAACCAGAGTGGATACACTTCCATGAGAAATAAGGCCTGAAATTCCCTCTGAAACATCTGAAGCAAGGGCTGCAGGATTTCCCAAGAAATCACTAGATCCTAGGATATTGTGAGCTCTCCACTTTAACATCTATTTTATGATTCAAAAAAGTAAGGAATTGAATAAGAATTAAGTAAACACGAAACACCTTAATAAAACACAGCACGTATTGAATACACACTTGTTGGTAATGCTTGATAATGGATGCAAATAGAAACTGGCTAGTCTCAAACGGATGTTGCTTGACAAAACCTCCCAAATCGACTCCTGCATCCTCAAATTTGATGAGCCGCAAGCCTAGCTTTCGCTTCACGGCATGCAACTCTGGAGGGAGTTTGTTACTGGTAAAAACACTGAGTCGGAACTGCAAAAGAAATAAAATCAATTGCATTGTTTAAAATGAAGCAGATCTTACCATCTGTTATTATTTGCTTAGACATACCTCGCTTGGCAGTATTTGCAGGAAACCAAAGTAGTATCTTTTAGCATGTATAGAGGTAGCTTCACTTAAAATTCTCTGGGTTTCAAACTCACTCTCACCAACATCCTCCTGAGCTGGAATGGTTTGCTTGTAGCCAGTCCAAATCACCAACTTCAATAACAAAGACTCCTCAATACTCAAAGAAAGGCGTGTGATCTGGATAGTCAAGTACTGTAAAAAAAAGACAAAAATGAAAATAAACATTAATGCAAGGGATGCATCCTTACAAAACTCCCTTAGATTCATAGATAGATAGATACTAATATTACGATGTACCTTGAATATTTCAGCATTGATGTTAGGACTAGTGACTCTCTCTGCTTCAATCACAATGGCTGGTTGACATGGTTCTAGAGATCCATCTTTCTTTACAGGATTGACATAGAGAAGAACTGGGCAGGTAGAATTATAAAGCTGATTATCAACTTGAATGTCTTCCACACAGAGTGACAATTTTTGAGAAGCTGAACCCTTTTGAAGCTCCATGGCAATTCCCACAAGACGAATAAAGACAAGTTCTTCTGGAGGTTGGCGAGAGACAATTGACACACCTAATCCTCTATCCAAGAATAGGCATATCTGTAAAGATTGTAATATGTTGATTAAACAGGAAAAGAGGAAAAAAGGCACTTCTCATTTCTCAAGTTGATTAAGCATGACAGCAGAAACATACATTCATAAGAGCTCGTTCATTCGGAGATGATTGACCAGATTCATTATGGATTAGGGATGGTCTTTGTGTAGCCGAAATGTGTGCCCAATCTCTTTCTTCAAGTAAAGCAAACTTTTGCTACAATACAAAAGTATTTTGTGAGGTATAATTAATTTTTGTGGATATTTGTACATACAAAAAATATAAAAGTTAACTGAATAATTATTACCTTTTGTTTTATATCAACTATTTCCAGGACTCTAGTGGGTCCATCTGTGAGAACGTTCACAGCTAGAAACCCTGATCCAGGCCTTAACCTTTGACGGCTTACAGCTTGCTCTAGAGGTACTCCCTCCTCTGTCACACGATGGGTAATAGGTTGTGGAGGCCCAAGAACTGCCTCACACCCTAAAATAAACACCCAGAAAATGAAATTAGACAAATAAGAGCAGGCAAGAAGATCAGATATAAATTATGCCTAAAAATATAAATATGAGGTGACATCTAAAATGCTAGAAGGCTTAAAAGTCTGCTTTGGCTGCCAACTGCCATGCTCCAACTGTACCAATCAATGACCCACAAATATTATAAATTACCAAAGCCAACTTGCATAGCCCGCAGAATGCACAAGTTTTATCAATAAAATTGGAGTACAGAAGTATACATACACTGCTGCCAGCGAGCCCCAGATGCACCAGATGGGCCTGGAACACCAGGGCAGTTCACATGCATCAAGCTCATAAATGCCCCCCATGCACACATACCAAATAACAATAAAAAGAAAACATTACAAAGATATTTTTAAACAATGAAAAAAGGAGACAATGCCTTATCACATTACACCAAGCACCTGGTTATATATGCATAAAATGCATTGAAAATAAATAAGGAATGAAAATTCATAAATAAAGAAAAGGCCTATAAGGCTACAACTACCGAACAGCTGCCTGAACCATCACTTACCCTTATGGAGCCCAAAGAAGCCATCTTTTGCCTGGACGCACATGTTATTATGAGCACAACACAGCCGCCCGTCCTCTGTGAACCGCCAGGTCTGAGTCGACTTCCGACGGTTATCCACGCGGCGCAGCGTGAGGCCAACATATTGCGATGGCTGCGGAGCTGGGCCAGCTATGTCGAGCACCAGAATGTTGTCGGAGTGAGAGCCCGACGACGAACTGCCGCGGTGGTGGTCGCGCGGAGGCGAGCTGCCCTCATGTTGCAGCTGGCCTTCCCCCGTCATGCGCCACAGTTGGGATCGAGCTCCTTGCTCCTTGCGGGCCAACACCACCCTCGTCCCTCCCAGGGGTACGTCCAGGACCAGCTGTTGGCTCTCCACATCCGGCGGATCGAATGGACCGTCAGGGACACTGCACAAGGAACAGACGTGAGCAGGTTGCAATAGTTGTATATATAGATAAATGTATATATATATATGTATATTAATAGGATGCACAGAGACTGCAGCTCACTTCTTAAAGGTTCCTGTAAAAGCGATGTAAATGAAGTTTTCATAAGTGAGGTCTCTTCCTCGACCCAGCACATTCATATCATAGGATGCAGTAGCACCTCCTGGAGCAACTAAGGTGATACTTGGAGCTTGAATAGGCTCATCCCATGCATAAGGCATTGAGAGATGGGGACGAATGGATGAGTGTAGACTTTCTGTGTGAAAACAACTCTGAAAAAATAATAATATTAAAGAGGATATTCTTAAAGAGGATATTCTAACAGTTATTTTCATAAGCATGATCATTTTCTGGACTCAATAACAATGTTATACCTGGAAGAACAGTAGTGGTACTTCAGAATAGTTATCCACTCGAATAGGTGGTGGCATGGTGTTGGCATCCGAAAACACCACAAAGTAAGTTGCACCTTGAAGAACTATCTCCAACCGCAGGAAGTACATTCGTCCGTCATGGTCCCTGCAGAGAAAGATTCCAAACAAATACACTTCTATTATTAAAAATTTTGCTATAAAATTACAGTATAATGTTGCGCAAATTACCGTATGTTGATATGTAAGGAGTCTGTCACATTAATACGAAATCCTCCAGACCACAAACAATTTTGCACCCCAACTAAGCGCACACAAAGCAGCTGTTCTTTTTCCTGTCTTGGCCAGTGGAATGGTAAACAGCAATTAGGGACTGCTGTGAGATAAGTGGCTTGAGCTCCAGGGTCACTCTAAAAGAGAGAGAATTTAGAAAAAAAATTGTTTTAAATTCCTTTTTTTTAGAAAGACAAGGTGTTAAATAGGCATAGAGGCACTCACTAATGTAGTTGCAAAATATTTTTGAGCAAACTGGAGTTTATAACTTGAGCGATTAAAAAGCTGGTAATATGGTGAAAGTGTAACAATATTTGTGTGGCGATATCGCCCACGACCAGTTTTCACTTCAACTCCCATCAAGTAAATGACATCAGGTCGACTTTCTCTAAAAGATACCATCAGTCGGCAGAATTGGATGCCAGGATGTAGGTGGAAGTGGTCGCACCACTGTAAACAATTAAAAATATAGATTGATAAAAGCAGCCTCTTTGTGAATACAATTGTTTCACACTTTTTCAAATGCATTATTCACTGACTTGGGGAACACCCTCAGAGTGAACACCACTTCCAACACGGGCAACAACAGTTGGACTTGCGTCATGGTCAGAGTAAGAGAATAGCAGTGGGGCAACCATACGAGCTACTTCATGTTCAGCAAATTGTCCAGCTGTCTCTTCCGGAACACCCTCTTGACGAAACACGAGTGGCAGTCCAGTTTTGTTGACGATCCAGTAAGGGGCCCACACAACAACCTATAAGGTCATAAAAAGTTTAAGGACAAAAACTCACACTAAATTAAGATAAATGAAGGGGTTATACTTTAATACTTTACCTTCATGGCAGATCCTTTGCTCACATTAACACTTGACTGCAAGAAAAGGCGGCGAGATGAAAGGTCATGCAGTCGGAGACGTTGTGTAAAGCTGTTACTGGGCCGCGGAGGAAGGGCAAGGGTTCCAGCACCAGGGAAATTGTCAAGGTGAAATGAAAACTCAATAGAGCCATCAATGTCAACTTCGCGAACCGGATCTTGACCACCAGGTTTAATAACACCACTGACTCTAGAGGAGGTTAAAGTTTTGGAATGGACAGCATAGTGTAAATCATATGGTAACAAGTTGACTATTGTGACACAACACAAAAGAGTGATAGTGTGAGCAGGCTGAACCCAGAGGCCAGTGCGTTCGACAGGGTAATTCTCCCGCATAACAGCAGCACAAAATCTGGGTAAAAGAAAAAGCGATTAAAAAGGTACAAAGACAATAATTAGTGAAGGTATGAATTGTAGGAAGATCATATATCATACTTGTAACTATTTCCACGAGTAGTTTGACAAGTATGGGTTTCTTCCATAGTATCTCCAGGTTTAGTGACAGAAGCCCATGAGATAGGATGCATACTAAAAGCATGGTAACTACCAGTAACTGGCCGGATCCACAACTGTGCTAAAGCATGGGTCAAGGGTACTGGCATCACGGACTGTGGAGCAATTTGGATTGTTTTGACTCCAGCCCAAGCTGAAATTTGAAAATAAACAAATTAACATTGATTAATGTGGGTAACATAAATACAAAAACAAAACATCTGAACTTACCACTTCCTTGAGAATGTAGTGTGTTCTCAAGACGTAGTTCCACTGGGTCTTGAAGTTGATTCTTCAAAAGAAGAGCTGAGCGCACTGTGACCAATTTCTGTGCTGAACCCTCTAGTGTTACCTCCAACACAACTCTTGCTAGAGGAAGATCCATATGCTGGAGAATAAAGAAATCATCAGATTAAAGAATACTACGTAGAAAATTTCCAAGGAGAAACATTCGTGTTAGTTATCAGAGGAAACATGAGGGGAGATGTTTTGATAATGACCAGATCAGAGCAATCAAAATCAAACAAATTAAAATTGGGTTGATCAATCAAGACTTCAGGGAAAAATAGGATTCCATGAAGCTTGGGTTAAATATTCAATAGCTTTTCAACATACTGTATCCATCAATCATGGCAGAAAATTAGTCTCACAAAACACACTGAAAAGTAAATTAAATCTAAACAAGTCATGCATAAGCACATTCAGAGATATTGTTAACATACATCTCCACTGCCAGAGGGCAGCTTCTTCAAAAGCCTTTCTTTTACCTACACATAAAGAGAAAATGACATACTAAGATTGAAAAAGAAAATCATGTGTCTTTCCCTCGGTGATGTCAAAAAGACTAAATAACTTACTGATCTTTGAGACTCTGGCACAGCTGGTCGGAAATATATGCCAACTTTATCCACTGAAATTGGATTTATTGGACGCCAACCCTCAACACAAACACACAACTGATGAATTTTATATTTGTGTGAGTTCTGATGACGAAGCTTTCCTAATTGGACAAAAAGGTAAAAATAATTTATAAAATGAGCTAAGCATTAAGACTGAATTCTCCACAATAACATCATTATTTTACCTCTCTCCTCAAATGCAAATGGTACTGTTGCTCCTGGGGCTACTGACGTCCACCTCAAATTATGTTCTTCAGAATTAGGTTCTAAAACTCTGCATTAAAAGATAATTTACAGTCAAAGGTTTAATCTTCTTCTAACAAAAGGATCAAGTAAATTAGTGGTTACGCTATTCTCACCTATCAGCTGATGTGACACATGTAGTGAAAAATACTCTTGATCCAGTATCATTACGGAGAGCAAAAGGTACAAATGGAGCACGGCGGCGGTGCCCTGCTGGGCTTCCTGTGAGACGACTGTTGTTTGTGCAGTAGTAGTCTTCAGTCCAGTTTTCCTTAACTGCCTTGTACAGCTCAACTGCAGTGCTGGTAATATTCAAATTTAGAATATCATCAGATTTTATGGTTATTCCAGTATGCTCATTTCCGTCACTGACTTTTGTTCGATCCCAAAGCATTTTAAAGGACCAGGATTCTAAGAATGGTTCCCAACCAGATAACACTCGATTATAGTAATCTCCACCTAGTACACCTTCAACCTTAAAGCTACCAAGATTTCCATAATTCTGCTCTATATTTAGAGATGACAATGAAAGCTCTAGGAGAGGAACATCAGCATCCCTACAGTCATCAATCACACAAATACTAAGACATTTTATGTTGATTTGAATAAGCTGGAATGATAATACAGAGGGTTGTTCTGAGACATTGAGATGAGGGCGATTAACAGCATGTTGTGTTAGCCATAAGGCTGCATCATCAAGCTTTCCATCACATTTATCTAATGCTTGGGCACAATCATCTGTTTCAAAGCCAAGGACAGATAACTTGTGTACTTGACTAGTAAAATTTGCTGGCTGACAATGTTTTTGTAACTCTTGATTTCTTGCTGACATTGTCTGTTGCTTGAGTGATGATATCATTTGCATGAACATTCGGACATCATGGTACGAAAGCCTAACATTTAACTGCTGGGTTGTTTGAATAACAAGAACTTGCTCTTGATTCCCTTCTTCAGTATCTGATAATGACTGTCTTTTCAGATCCATATTGATGGTAACTGGATCAATGATTGACAAAGCAGTTTCATCCTCCATACCAAGCACACAAGAAAATACCTCACAATGGTTAATGTTTAGGGAGAGGGGCTCACTTTCCTGGCCTGGTTTAAAGGAGACAACAGTTGTACTTTTCAGTATGACTGCATTTGCATCCCACTGAGAAGTATCTTCCACAACCACAACTTCAGAGGCTGTTATGTTCAACTTGAGTTCATATGGCACAGTTGTTACCTCATCCCTCTCATCAGTCTGTGCTGGTTGAGAGCTGCTCAAGTTCACTTTTACAACTTCGTTGAAAGGATTTCCGGCGTTTTCTGATATAAAATCTTTCACAACTTCCCACCAGTCTAGAATAGCCATTAACCGCATGCTATTGAGTAGAACTGTAAACTTTGAGTAGTCTCTACGTTTTCTATGGTGGATTTCAGCTTGAACCATGTCCTTCGAAAAATTCATGTTGATCGGCTGAAGAATATTAGTAAAGACATTTGAGCGCTTATTGACTGGTTCATCTTGAAATCTTGTATCAGTGATGAGAATTTCTTGGGACACTAAGTCAATATCTTGAGATCGATCACTGTATGTTTCAACAGTGAGCTTCGATTTAATAAAATTGATACAAGCAAGTGAGGATTCTCCTTCACCTTGACTTGGAATGTGAGTTTGACCTGGAGAAAGGTCGCACCAAGGTTCTGGTCCATGATTTAATTGTAGCTTTAAGGTAACATCCACAAGATCTAAATGAATAGACATCAACATCCAGATGTTATCAGTCACTGGTGCATTCTGAAAAATAGAATAATTCTTTTTAGCAAAAAAAAAATGAATGAGAAGGAATAAAACAGACTACATTCACTACATTCACGCTCTGTACCAAAGCAGATTGTGCAGATGTATTAAAGCTGGTGTCGGTTGAACTGGCAATAACATCATCCAAGCACTCCCCAATATTGTAGGAAAGTAGGCCACGAATCAGTCGGTATTGGGATAGATCTACAGCAGCACTCAACCTTGACAATGTCCCTCGCACACTCATGTCAGGAACTGTGCGGAAAAAAATATTTTTAATTTACAGAGAAAAAAAAGGGTGGAAATGAGGGATTTCATTTTTCACAAAGTATTGACTATCTCATACCAAAATGGGAAAATGTGGAATCAAGGTTGCTTTCTAGTTGTAATTTCAGCTGGCATTTTTCACGGAGAAGTGAAGGTCCTCTTTTAGCAACAATGAAACTTCCGAGACGGAGAGAGGAAGACTCTCTTAAATTATCATAAGCACACAAGCGTTCGCCAGCATAAAGATCCATGTTCACTAAATCAATTTGCATCACATCAAGTAAAGGCCAATCTAGAATGTAGAAGACCACATGATTAATAGAACATTCAATTCAAAAATATAATGATAAAGAAAAGGATGGTATACCATTTGGGTCCTCAGGTTCGGAACAGACTTTGCTTATGGTTCCATCAGAAGCAGCAGTCATAAATTTATTGTTGATACTTAATTTACCAAGGTCTGCTACAAGTATTTCAGTTGAGTGTGAACTCAATGGTAGCAACAGTACTGGAGAGCCTGCTGTGACAACAAGAAGTCTACGGCTTCTCCTAACAACTTCTTCGGGTACCTGCAACAGAAAAAAAATTTCAAAGTCATGTCACAAATTTTACTAGAGATAGATAAATGAGAGAAGAGGCTGAGTCACAGACCTGACTAGCTGAACGGATATTACTAAGAACATTCTGAAGCTGTGAAAAGTGGCGGAAAAATGCATTTATCTCTGCAACAAAACGTTGTGTATGCACATAGAGGACTGATGACATCTCAATGCGGAGCTGAGAATCATGTTCTCTCTTCATTGTAGGGTCTGGAGCCCCATACCTAGCATTAAAAAAAAGTTATTAGAATCTAAACCAACAAACACTCCCTCTCATTCATAAGTAGCTGATTGAATGATAAATTTAAAACAGCTGTAACTCCACTTACCTGAAATAGTGTACATTAAGAGCCTCTGAGCCAGATGAGATAAAACGCTCTCGATAGAAAGCAGAATGAGGTGTAGCATCCATCAGACTCATTTTTCCAAGGCGTCCATCCAATGAAAGATCACCATTGCGGTTTAATATTTCAGCTGAGAGCTGCGACACATTAGCTCGAGCCACTTCATACTCTGGTCTATTTAAAACAAGAGTTAGAGACCAAATCTCTAGCTCTAACTTTATGTTATCTGTCTGTATACACTCAACAGAATCAGTCACACCAGAGCTTTTGGGCACTTGTTCCTAAAACAACAATTATTGAGAAATATTTTTTTTAAATGTTGTTAAAAATTCAGTTTTTTCTCTCTCATCTTACCTTTGGCTGAGCAGTTCGTTTGGAAGGACCAAATCCAAAGAAGTCAAGTATGACAACCCATGATTCAACATTAACAATAATATCGAGTGTGTTAAAATCAACATTAATACTCCGATGAATATTGTTGAATAGCGATGTTAGCTTTGGCGCATTACGGTCAACAAGTACAATATTAATGCGGACAAGAGTGTCATCTCTCATCAGTCTCCCACTGCTATGATGCTGTGGTGATGGAGGCGGGGTGCTAGGATAGTCTCCGGTGACTGAAGGGGCTGCTTTTCCTGCAAAGTAATTTTGTAAGTCACTAATTTTATCACACTGTGTTTAGCATTAGAATTAAAATAAATATACTGTATGTGTAATTTTTACTTTGTCGCTGTGTGACTTTTGATTTAGAGGAACCAAAGGCAGACTCATTTTCTAAATGATCTGGCAGTGATCCATGATGGTGATGACGTTTGAAGTGAAGATTGTCATGCACAAATGTGTTGGCACTGTTGAAGTTTCCACTCAAATTTGGGCAGGATTTTGAAACAAAAGCAGGCACATCACAGTACTGATTACGGCCTGTTTCAGATCCATTTGAAGATACTAAAAGAAACCGATGCTTTGAATCAGGGGGTTGAAGAAGATCCTCCATCAATAATGAGCGTAAGGACATCTGAAAATGTTGAAAATTGAACAGAGATGTGTTGATCAGAACCAGATATATAGAAAGAGATAATGCGAGTTTCTGACGCAATGTTTTCTACTGTACCTCTATGACAGTTTCATAGGGTCGCTGGCGTTCAAATTGCAGCTTAAAATCACTGCAGGACAAATCCACTAGACTTTGATCACCATTGCCAAGGTCACCCTTTAATTCCAGTGTGAATATAGGGAGTTCAAACAAAACTGAATGAGGTAAAAAGTACAGTATTAGATAAAAATCAAATAGGGAGTACAATACGCAATTGGCTTGAGAAGAATGTCCAACCTTTAACAGTTATTCGATGAGGAGGAGCAGCTCTGTGAAATTCAACAGCTGGAGTGCCTTGGTTAAGCATTCTAGCTCGTAGAGTTGAATCCATGCTAAGAGTTGACACTCCTGTATGTAGCTCTGATTCCTCCTCAGCTATGTCCCCTAAAGGAGCACGATGTGTAGCAGCGGATGGGCTTTGCCCTAGCATTGGTTGAGAGTTTGGGGAGGAGAAGGAAGGCCTACTGGTTGGTGCAGTTCCAGTCAACAAGCTATTCACTGTATCCAAAACTTGCTCATATTGTTGACGTGACAGTGATACCTTGAGTGGTGTGATAACACTCCCAGAAATCTAACAAAGAAATGATAATTTAAAAAAAAAATTATCAAATAAGCATTGCAAAAAAACAAAAGAAAGTGAGGTGTACCTGGATACTATCTTGTGACTGATACTCATGGAAATCAGCGGTGTTATCATCCAACAGTAGTGATGATAAACTATCTGCTTTTTGCATAATACCACAGCCCATTACACGTTCCACATCCAATTTTATTACTGTATCATGTAGTATGGGTACACCTGCCTCAGTACAAGCATAAAGTTGTTCTGCACGGAATAAGCTATCCACATGTCCACTGTAAATTTAATAATATCATGGTGTTATGGATAAAACTAATTCTTTCTAACACAGAAAATTTACTTCTCTTTACGAAAACTTACTGAGTAGAAAATCCTCCTAGCTTTTTAGCAACATCCAAAGTTTTCATTGTGTCAAGAGAAAATAAATTCATGTCACGAATTTCAATACTGTAACACTCCTTAGACTGTCCAGCTCCCCACAAATGTTCTTGGCTGTCTTGAACACCTAATTCATTGCTGTCCTGAATGTTACTGATGGAAATTTTACCTAAGTGGGCTACCAATACTTCAGAACTAATTGAAGAACGAGGCATAACAACAACTGGTGTATCTAAAACTACATCCAATCTGAAAATTTAAAAAAACAAAACAGATTTAAATAATATGTACTATAAAACAGTTAGTTTGTTTTTAAAAAAATAATAATGTTACAAAAAAACAAAATTTGGTTACTAACCTCAGCTCTGTCGATAAAGATTGACTATCATCCTCTCCTTCACCAGGGCTAGTAGGTGTGACGTTTCCCATAGTGTTGCAAACTGAAGGATTGGCAGTGTTTGGCATAGATTCATACACTTCAGAGGAGCGAGATACACTTCTTCTCCTCCTCTTGGGAGAAGAGAGTTCTGATCCTGAGCCACCATAAAACGAAGCAGAAAGGCGGCTGCTCATGTATAAACTTTGTGCAAGGGCCTCAGCTCTATATACAAAACACAAAAGTTAAATATTTCAAAGAGAAACAGGAGAGTTAAAAGCTTATAAGATAATGTGCTTCCTACAACACAACATACCTTGCATGGACTAGACCTAATGCCATTTCTGTGGCTGCAGACCTTATTGAGCGAGCTAAATTGCTAAGGTACTGTTTAAATTCAGAGGCACAAGAACCTAATTCATTGACAAGACAAGGTGAATGTGTATAAAGAACCGAAGCCATGCGTATTTTGATATCAACTGACTCAGAATCTGGTTGGTTTGCTGTAGAGACATACAGATAAATTAAATTGTGGTACAGTATATTTGCATCAGATGAAAATTAAGGATTACCAAAGACCTCCACATACGTGGTTAGATTTAATTTTTTTATAATTACCTGTTGTAGAAACTCCAACTGAGGCTGCAATACCTCCCAAAGAGCGGCTAACAGAAAAGCTAAAAGCTTGCACTTGTTTCTCCTCAGGACATGTAGATGCAGAAGGTTGTCCCATGGAATACAAATCTGCTCCAAAGCAAGAAGTAACATCTGGTGCCCTTTCCGAAACTAAAGGATCTTTACCAAGACTTAAGATTCTCTGATGCTTCTGACCTTCAGGAGTCAAGTCAAGTACTTGTAACCCCCCTAAAGATCCACCAACTACCAGCTGTTGACCTAATTAATACAAATGAAATGTCAAAACACGTCAGTAAGGAAAATTACCACTTTCAAAATTAAATTAATTACCTATCGTGGCATGAATTTTGGCTTCTGACATAGTAGCAGTAGCAATCTTTCTCCCAGTATGAACATTGTCTTTCAAAACAGCTCGAAGAAGAAGAACATTGAGACGATGAAAATCAAAAGTAAGTTCAGTTCGGGCTGTTGTGACAGGTGCACTGTCTACTGAGAGATGCCCATGAGGTATTTGTGCTGAAGCACTTGGACTTGGACTGTGAGAATTATCAGCATGATTATGGGAAGAAGATCGTCCACTTGGAGAAGAAGATCGCGGCACTTTAAGAAAGATTGATGAAACAAATTTAATGAAAATAAATACCTACATACCAACAGACCAAGAAAACTATAGGAAACAAATAATGGACAAACCATGAGTCCCAGTGTAACGTTTTCCTTGCTTCAACTGAGGGAAGACACGTCTTGAGAAGCCTATCAACTCAACAATTGTTTCTTGATTTGCTGAAATTTGAAAAATTATAATTGATTCAAAAATTTATCTATTGCCTTTTTCCAAAAAAATCCGTGCAAAGTAATAGATAGATTATAGATATATTTATAATCTTACCAATGATATCCAAGTTATTAAATTGCACTGATACAATTTGAAGAGCTTCCTTTGATGTAGAATCGTCAGGTTCATTGTTTGTGGGACAGTCTGGACTAACAAGTATAATTTCAATAGTAATAAGGGCCTCATGATCAAATGTATCCAACCCAACATAAGATGCTCGGGCAGAAAGTCCACCAGGTATGAATTGAGGAGATGTAATTGTTGGTGGTGGAGAGGGAACAGACCACGAAGGAGACACAGCTGGAGGAAACAGTTAAGGCTCTCAAATCTAGCTTTTAGATAACAAAATAAAAAAAGTGTCAAAGAAAAAATGTTGTTATTGTTACCTCGTGGTCCTGATGACTCATATTGAAGGCTTGAGAGAGCCTGAGAAAGTGCCAAAGGAGTTGTAAGTTTTGTTGACCTTGGACTTTGAACATCTGGAGATGGTGATCCAGGAGATGTTGGAGAGGTAGGCTCACTGTCACGTAAACTTCCACTGACACTGTCCATTCTGAAAAAGCAAAAAAGAAATCCAGCAGTTTAGATATTACATAAAAGAAATGTTTATATAGAAATGGATGTTATTTGATTCTTATAAAATCGTACCCAACATGTTTGTGACTGGCGACCAATAGTTCAAAATCTGGTCCAAAAGTCTGCAATGCATCAACAAGTAGAAGACTATGGACACTGAGGGAAAGTGAGGTGTCAAATGGTCTCTTGGTGAAGCCAGCTCTTACACCTGATACTTGCAATTCTGCCACAGATCTACCTCTTGATTGAACCTGTATAAGAATGATTTATAAACTTAACACAGGCATGGCTGCATTTTAAAGCCCAAACCATTAACTGATTTGCTTACTTCTAAAGCCATCTGATCAACAGAAAATTGTAGCATAACCAAACGAGACATAAGTTTTTCATTCTTCCTTTCCTTTTCTTCAGCCATATTTTCTTCTTCATTTGCATCCTCATCTGCACTGTCCTTTGGCATTTGAGGTTCTTGAGATCTATAGGAAAAAAGAATTTACAATATAATACACTGGTGTAGTTGTAGGTATCCATTACCTAGGATGGAGAAATATGCTCTTATTCCTGTACCTGAAAGGTGATGGAAGACCAGGGCCACTGATAATATCCACCATTGTCCGTAATGCCTCTATTTTCGTTTCATTAATGTGCACTACCAGTTTTGGAAGGTTTCCGCTAACAGTTAAACTAGGAAATTGAGGGTCTCGAGTAAAGACAACTCTCCTTTCAATCTGCAAACGAATGACTGGTCAGCAATAAGCCAAAACTAAAAGCATCACCATAAAACAGGAGAACTTACCTGAAGGGAAATGTTAAATCTGTCCAACACATGCAATGTGGACGTGCCTTTGAGATGGGCATATTTCCAGTTATCTTTTACTTTTCCCACAAGGATTTGTAAATCACCAAATTCAACAGTATACCTAGAACAAAAAAAACACATCAATTTCAGCAACATCTGAATATATGGAGGCTTATGAGTATAAGACATTCCCTGGCAATATAATTGTGGGAGGTCACTAGGTAGTGAAATGACTCACCGATCATACAGCCTATGATGTAATGACCATTCATTAAGTGCCTCTTTAGTTTGTTCCCCAGATAGTTGCGAATTCAAAGTTTCCTCAATAATTTCATCCACATCACTTTCTGAGTCACTAGCAGCACTTCCTGGAGGAGTTGAACATGGAGTCTGAAAAGCATCTGTAAAGACACAAAGCATATGTTAGCAGACTGAAATCACCAACAAATTGGGTACGTGAAACCAAAAGATTGCTTAGTACCATCTTCATCATCACTATCTCTTGTTGTTGTAATAAGGGGAGGAGGTGCATGTGTTTCTAGCCTATGGTTATCTTGAGTACTCAAATGGAATCTTCCAAAATCCACGACTGCAATGACTGCATTCTTATCACAGAAATGTTCCACAAGGATTATTTGAGGAGCTGATATATTAAGTTCTAGTTCCCATGTCTTACGGTTACTCTGAAAATTACATTGATCAGTCAGACATATAGTTATATGTAGTGCAGGAGAAAAATTTCAGTAACAAAAACCTCCAGTAAAACAATAAACATACCAAATGACCTTCTAAAAGTTCCTCCCAATTCCTCATTAGCTCCTTGCGAGTGCGCCGCTTCATTTCTTGGTAGCCATGGCGTGCTGCTTGACGCAAAGCATAATCAAGCTGTTGATAAGGTTGAGTGAAAAAATTTGTCAACCACTCTACAGCCGCTGGATTGTATACCACATCCAAAGATTGGGAACGAATATGCAGCCTGTAGTCGGAGTTGCTATGAAAAGGTTTGTGCTCATAGACTAATTCGAATAGTGATTCTTCAATTTGAGATGTGCGTCTAATAGGATTCGGAGTAGATGTGGCACCAATAGAACTGGCCTGGTTTCGGAGGCGCTGAAGCCCCGGTGGGAACGCTCGTGGCCCCCGGCTAGTAAGTGCACTTGGTGCAGAATCATGGCCTTGTGGGGCTACAAGCACTGGAAAAACTGTATCTTTGGTTAATCTATCCCATACGTACAGAGCCCCAAGAGATACACTGACGCGTTGGGAGCCTGTTCGAGGTCTAGATTCCAAATTGAGCTGAACATTTTCAAACTGTAACTCGAGAACTGATTTCCTGCAAAGCAAAGATGATGAGAACAAAGTGCTGATGAGTAGAATTAATGTAAACTAGAAATAGTAATTGACCTACTTTGATTCTTCAGGGACTTGATGCTCAGAGTGAACATCACTCTCTGATGAACAGAGATGGAATGTTCCTTCTTTCAGAGTAAAGTTTAACTGGCAAAACACAACATCTCTACGCAGAAGTGAATTATTATCCACTGTATCTGCAAGAGCATCTAAAAGTTGGCCTTCAATTTGTTGTTCCACACTGTTTTCTGAAACATCAGCAGAAGGTATAGTCCCACTAGCTCCATCACTATCAGACCAACCCCACCATGTTGGGAACCACTGAAGTAAAATTCCCCTTCCAGCTGAAGCACCTGATGCTTCATTTCCTGATGTTGATGCCCTTTCAGAAGGAGATGTCAAAGGCCGCACATGTCGCATGGCAACCTTAAAAATATATCAGCATTGGTACTGTAATTAGAAACAATGAACATATTCATGTGCACAGTAAAACCTGTAAAACTTACCTCTCTAAGAACACGTAAATCCTCTAGTGATCGAGTATGCTCCATTGCATCTTTCATCTCTTTTGACTGTGCTGGTAGAGTAATTGTAGGATTTGATAGGAGTTGCTCATAGGTAGAAACATATTTTACATTATCCCGGGCTAATTTTAACACGTCTTCCCAAGTATGAGCATTCTCTTGTTTCTGTTAAGTGATATAATGATATAATGTTAAAAGACTAATTTAATAAGTAGTTTTTAACATTTTTATTATAATGCCTGCAAACTTACCAATCGAGGGATGTAACAACGAGCAAAATAAATCCACCAAGCCCTTGGGTTATCTTTGACTGAACAATCAGGCCGATACTTTCGAAACCTTTGAATTCTTTCAATACCTTGAAGGCCTTTAAGACAGCCAACCATTTGCCCATACTGCCACTAACATCGGAATAGAAAAGAGATTAGCAAAACAAGGTACAAAGGTACAAATTTCTTCCCTCACAGATGTTCACTTACATCATATAATGACAAAGGGACTTCTCCAAGATGCAGATCACAGACAATTCTAGGTTCCAAGTGAGATCTTAAAGGAAGCTCAGAGCGATTTCTTTTAACATGAGCCTGAGCACTAACAGGAGACAGCAAAAACTTGTGAGTTTTACATTTCACTCCAACTTGTGATAAAGCCACCTTGAAATAAAAAGAAACAAAGCGTGCTTACATAATTTTGAAGTAAATAGAAAAAATCTATTAAAAAAAAAAAAAAAAAGAGTTCTAATTAATTTTTGTGGATGTTCAAAATACATACTGCAAGCTCCCCAAGAGAAAGATCTCCAAGAAGACTACTGGAATCAACCCTGTCCCAATACACTCCCAGAGCACTGAGCTCCAGCAGTTTGAAGCTGTTTTGGCCCGAGTCCCCAGATAGGTAACGTGGCTGCCATGTATCATCACAACTTTGTGCAGACAAAGTATCCATGGTAATGCCAAAGGCAAATGCCTCATTAGGTACAGTGACATCATCCTCATATCTAATGTGAACATCTGTAATTTTGAGCTGGTTGGAAAAGAACAAAAGGGAAAATTAATGTTTATTTCAAAAGTTGAAATTCTAGATGGAAAAACTACTGACAAACCTGTAAATTTTCAACAACATTAGTGACCACGCTTGTTCCATAACTCAGCCAGGAGGAGTAGCTAGAGGCATAATAACTTGACCCCTGGTTGTCAAATTCTGCTCTCCATTGTGCTTCAAGATAGTCCAAAAAGTTGAGTTTGTATTCTTGAGCTGCTTGTTCTTCAGCATCTTCATCCCACTAAAAAAAAAAGAAAGACAGAAAAAATTAGTAATAATTAAAAAAAGCAATTTATTTCCTGCTACATTTTAAATTATCTTTACCTCATTGAGCCGAACTGGGCCAGCCACAAGGTAGAGCTGTTCAATCAATATAACCCATGGGGCACTGCGAATTGCTCTCACTGGAATTTGAAGCTTGATTTTCCCAATGAATCCAGCACGAACTTGGATGGGCAAGCCAAAGTGACGCAATGCATCTTTCCTTAAAGGTAGGTTTTCAAGTTCCACTTCCCCTGTGAAAGGTAAAATTGTATTTTGAATTATTATCTATAAGCAGGAACCTTCAATAGGAGATTAATCTTCATTAGAGAACCAAATACTTGGATGTAAATGGTGTTCAAGAGAAAAAGTATGTCGAATAATTCACCTTGTAGAAGGGCTATGCTGAGCTGATGGGTGTTTAGGTTTTCAACATACTTGCCTAAGTAAGTATTGAGTACCCAGGCAACTAAACCCTCTAGCATGATGCATCACGTTAAATAGCCTGAAAAATTATGGAGCATATAATACATGAAGTGACAGTTGCAAGGATGTCAAATTGAGAATTTGCCTTAATATATAAACCATGATGTTGAAGATTTGAGATTTATGACAAACATGGGGTAACTTGGGTTTCTAACATTTTAATAATCTGCACTAAGGGTGTAGCAAAGGGAACAAGTAAACAAAAAATTTAAGGTGTCATCTGATAAAGGATGAGAGCAAACAAAATTTAAAAAACACAAATACATAAAATTATGATTGGGGAGGAGCGAGGCGTTCTATCTTCTGGAACTGACATAGTTTTAATGGCAAAATAAAAACAATTCCTTAAAAACGTCGACATATCATGAGGAGTTGTAGGTTATAGCTGCACTGAAAAGGATTGTATTGTAGCAGGTAACAAATGTCTGCCTACCAGGCACAAAGAAAAGTACTGATGGATAGAATATTAAGTTGTGATCCCCTTTACAATGCTTCAGACGTCAGGCGTTTTGTCTTGTACCGATGACATACACAATCTATAACAAAGTTCACTGGTCAGTTTTCCTTTCTTGTTTTTGTGGCAAAGCAGAACTGTTATTGAAGCAAGATTGCTATTCACATTCACATTCACTACTTACATCCGGAACGGCAGGATAACGGGTGGCGCGCCGCGGGGCATTTGAACACCCAGAGTGTATAACATTTCTAGAAACCTAAGAAACCATGCGGACACTACACGCATACGATTATGTGATAATCTTATAGTGTGAAGATCTAGTTATTGTAAAAACTAAATATTTGCAAAACGTAATGAAAAACATCCGAATGGTGCGCGTAACATGTGTGGCCAAGGCGGATAACGGGAAGTCCCATGTACCACTTGTGGAGGTTGATGTCATTGATTTGATAGCCCCGGTGCTCGATAGCGGGCATAGCGGGTATCCGCACCCTCCACGGTTTGCGCGGGTAGCGCGTATGAGTCATGGCAGACCAGTTGTTTCTGAAACGTTCTGGACTGGAACACTCGGGGGAATAGTCTTCTCACATATAAAGGCCCGAGCACTCCTTCCACCAGCCATTCCGTTGTCGTGTCCGATAGTAGTGTGTCTTGTTCCATCCACTCAAGCAATGTCAAAATTGAACGAGTCGGAGAAAGTGTGTGTTGAGCAGTTGTGTCAGATAATTCCTCGATCTGAATTAATCAAAATTGCAAAAAAGATTCTGAATGATGACACCACAGAAGCCACAGAAGGTAGGTACTGACAACGCCAAGTGCCAAGTTACAAAGATAGGCAGGCGAGGCCCGGGCTTAAACCGACTCCCTCGTCTTCCTGGGGGAAAAAAATAATTAGGGGCAGCGAGAGGGGCAAATAAATGCAAATACATGTCACTTAGTAGCAACTTGAAAAAAAAAAGATATTGTGTCGCTTTTAAGTGCATTGAAGTGGCAAGCAAGTGGCAAGTAGGTAAGTGACGTGAAGGATTTGAATCAAGAGGCAAGGCTGTTGAAATTCTACACCATTTTGAGACAGCCATTTGATGGTTGTCTATTTAGTAAGTTCCCAGCAGGGACTCGCAGACTTACTTTACATAAATGATGAGCGACTACACACTCATCAACTCTTATACAGAAAGTTAGCTTGGTATACTGTCCAGGGTATGGCTTTATTAGCATGAGGAGGGCATTATTTTCTACACATTCATTTCACTTTGTATGACACCTATATGGCACCTGGGCTCTTTGACACTTACCACTTACCTGCCCCTTAATTGCCACTTTGTCTCTTAATTTTTCTTCCCCAGGGATGCTTGTGTAGGCTTTATCAGACAAATAAGGACAGTAGACTCACATTGTATTTGGTATAGCATGCCTATGATTTTTATATTTGTGGAAAACTCCCCTACCTTAGCTTGATAAACGCAAAGTCAAGGCCTAGGTTTGGCCCCGTTTGATATCACATCTTATTTATTCCCCCAAACACTATGGAGTCATTTGCAGTTTTTGACTATTTCTTAACAACAAATGACTCCATACTGAGTGTTTTGTGTTTATTGGGTTGCAGAAAATTTGATCAAGAAAATGTGGTCTTGTTAAAATGATAAAAAATGGAAAAGCAGATAATTTTTTTTTTCCCATGCGAAAAGGATGTGTTGTGACCTTCTTGTTATCTTTTTGCAGAAGTGATAAAAAAATTGCTCAACAGTAAAATGCCATTCAAGACCTTTTTAAATCTTGTCCCAGCCAAAGACTTAAAGACATTTGTCGGCCCCTCTGAAAAATTTTTGAGAGACGAATTAATAAACATCATAAATTTTAAAATTACTAATGGGCGTATTAAGAAGAAGGATGTGAAGCCACAAGGTGATGGCAGCACATCAAGTACCCCATCAAAAAGTCCTGCACCAAGGTCTTCAAGGAGTGCTGCATCAAGCAATACCCCATCAAATAGCAGTCCTAAACAGGTTTGTGTCAATTGGTGTACCTTGTAGAAAGACTCAAACGACACAAGGTTCAAAAGCCTCTGATGATTGCCCCTGCTTTTGCATTTAGTTTGTGAGAGTCTTCTTTAAAGAAACATCCCTCACTTCGGTAACCTATTTCATTTTTATTTTTGTTTATTCATTGTTTCTCTTTTTGCAGAGCCCAATTGTATCAGCTATTGAGACAACTGAATATGAAACAAGATCTGTTAAGACAATTAAAAGAATTGAACAATTTCCTGTGGAAAAGGAAAATGGAAGTGGCTAAGAATATTTGATTTGTATATGTGTTTACAAATTAATAAACTCTTGCCTTGACCATTGCTTGGCCAGGTGTTCAAACACGAAGTGCTTTTACTTTTTAACCCGCTGCTGAATTTCTTGGTCAAAACACATACTTTTCTTTGGCATTATTACAAAAAGTTAGAACAGCTTAATCTCACAATGATTAATGCCCACAATAATGATTAATATCTTTTGTTTAAATATGAAACAACATGAGTGAAAACATTGTTATTGTGGGCATTTAACATTGTGAGATGAAGTTGTTTCAAACAAGGAAGAAAGAACTATTACTAGAGCCTCACTGCTGGAATAATATTAGATTCTTTTTCCTTGCCCTGGTTTAACTGCTTCTTTACGTATTGGTGCCCTTTGGTACTACAGTGATAGACAAACTTGTTTGTCTTTAACAGCTTAAATCATCATTACATGGGTGTAGATTTTTTTGTACAGCTGCAAGTATTTTTGGTATCATTTTCATGAGCAATTGGCTCTGGAGAGTGTGAGAAAGTACTTTTTATCACATTTAGAACAAGTAGACACTTGCCTCTGCTGTGTCTACCTACCATCAGGGTAAGGAACTATGTGAATGATTTGATTTTGTCATGTTGATGACTCCTCTCGCTCTTTTTTTTCCTGTATGTTTTATTGTTCGTTTTGGGCCATGCTCGTGTTTGGTGTTCTCTTTAAGGTTTAGAATTTTCTCAAAATGAAGTCAGTTTTCAGGTAACACAAAAAATAAGTTTTATTTCACAATTGTTTACCTTGCGGTGTAAATGGTAGTGGATTAAACTACAAGCAGGTATGATAAAATTATGACAGTAAGAACAAGTGGAAATAAAGATGAAATACAGTATAGTTTGTTCAAACTATGAGTATCAAGGACAGGCCATAGTTTCCAACAATTTAATTCAACTGTATAATTGGGCTTCTCTCATTTGAATATGTATCTACATTTTGATTAAAATAATAGTAACAGATAAAATGTTGAATATCAACAAAAGAAATTGGCACTCAATATGAATAGAAACAATTTACAAAAACAGTCACACACACATGGTTACATGATAATTTGTTTTTTAAATTAAAAAAAGAAAAGAAAAGGGACTATTCACACATAATGTAAATGTATATACAAACGCAAAAGATACAGTGTAAAAGTAACCAATAATGGTTGTCCTAACAAAACAAGTATGCATTTCCAACAAAAAAAAAATACTGAGTAGTTCTTATAATTTTCACAAGAAATCAGTAATTTTCAATACAAAACTACAGACTCACACTCACCCACATTCCAGATCCTTTGACAAACTTCTTATTCATATATGTTAAATATATCATGTCAGGACTCTCAAATGAAATGTTGTGGCCAAAGTCAACTGTAACTTGTATCTGTTTGTAATTTGCCACCATAAGTTAAAATCACAGCAATTATCATCAGTCATTTTCAATCCCATCATCTTCATTCATGCAAGGACAGAACATTTTAAGTACCAAAGAAATGGTATTCATTGAATAATTTCCACATAGCAACAATTGCTGTACTTTGTTCAAGATACAACATTGTTATGTTCCTTACAAATTTTGATTATTCCAAAGCTTTTTAAAACAGAATATTCAACATAACGGAATTCCAGTGAGTTTTGCTTTCTCTCGGTGAAAAGACTCAAATGGATGACAGGGCCTCAAGCTTAATCTTCAAATTATTTTATGCCAACTGATTAGTATAACAAATACTAAAAAACATGTTCATAATAAGACAAAACACTGACAAATTATTCTTCATAGCTAAATTTGTGAGTACTCTACTACTTGTAATACACAGAATGAGGATGAAGCAAATTAGATAAAATGAATGTTATTAGGTATCGCCTCTGATAAGCTGCAGGTATTATCACAAGAGGAGTGATCTTAGTTTCAATTTCCACAACTCCCCCATGGCTTAAAAAAGGAATTTGAATATCAATTGATAAACAAGCTTCACTTTCAATAAGTAAGCTAAGCCATAATATTGGTAAGGGGTGACTTGGTAAAATGAGAACAAAATTAGGTAAACAGACGCAAACAGCAGATTTGCTCAAAAAAAAAAAAAAAAAAAAAAAGAAAGAATCTAAATTGGTAATGTAAAAGACATGTGATTGTATGGACTGAAATTGCAAATGTAACTTAAGGTACACTTCAAATAAAGAGATTATAGCTTGAATTCAAATCTAGTCAGCATTTGCTATATATATCTATAATGATGTCCACAAGTCTATGACCACTTTTTGGCAGCAGCAAATGGGATTTTTCTAATTGCTTCTATACATTTTAATACATAATACAATAAACGGCTGGAAAGCCATACAACTAGGCTACACAAGGGTTACTTGTTTTGTTTTAACACACACCAGCGAGTTTAGGAGTTCCATACATGGGACAACATAGCAACCGTCGTCCTGGCATTCAGTGACTAGGATTTAACAATAATCATACAAGGGAAGTTTTTTAAGACTGGGATTTCCTCATTCCAAACAGCGCTCTGCGCAGATCCTTGGGGTTTACTTTCACATGGACATATCCATTGTTGTCCTCTAACAATTACAATTATAATAATACAAAAATTAAAAACAAAATGGAAAAGAGCATTTTGGAAGTGCCACTTCAGTATTATGACAAAGAGTATAGAAAGGTAACAAGATACGAAGTGGTCTAACATACTAGGACAAGTATTTATACACAACACATATGCATAGAAATGCCCACAAGGAACTAAGCACAATTCAGCACAAAACAAATTTACAAGATTATCTGTTTTAAATTAAGACATAAATTTGTAAATCTATTATTTCATACAACTATGTACAAATATGAAATATTCACACAATGTATTTACAGAATTCTTTAGTAACAGAAAAAGCTTTGCCCACAAAGTAAAAGTTGCTTGAGATTTAATTGAAGGGAATTAGTTTTTGATTGCAAGAGTCAAGTTACAGTAGCCCATGTATTGCTCTATTAGATTTTTGTGATAACCATAATAAAGAAAATCTACACACCGACATTCAGTACAAAGCATGACTGGTAATACTAGTACGTATTGTATATGGTTTCGGCTATTTTCAAATTATTTCAAATTGACTATTTTTGATTGCAAAGAAAAGTTAACTATCATACTATGATTGACGAGTCAAACTAGATTTATGGGATGCCTGATGAATGCTATTAAAGTGTAAACAAACTTACATACTTCAACATTCATAGTACAGAAATTGTTCTTATGATCTGATATTAACTTTCAACTTTCCTCTAAAATTAAGCCCAGAACAGATAATATTACAAAGTTGACCATCAATATTTCAATTCAGATTGACACCTCTCAGTGAGGGTTAAAGCGTCTCAAATATAGATAGATAATTTTGAGGCGCACTGTTTGCTACACTGAGAGACATGTGTGCTATGGTACGTACAATTGTGTAACACAATACAAAAATCTGGGCAACAACTTTTCCAGCAAGTCCTCACAGGCTTTAAACTTCATATCTTTTTACACATTACATTACCATACCAGCAACAATAAAATTCAAAACTGCCTGATGACGACAATAACATTAGATTCCCTCAACTCAAAACAAAATCGAGGAACTCTCAATCAACCTCAGGGCCAGACCCACTCACGCCTAGATAAATCGACAGATGGACAGAGGGGCCGATTCTATCAAACGCATTCTCAAGACGAGCATAAAAAGGTGCCGCATCCTGGTCATCATTTGCAGCGGGGAGAGGGCCGTCCGACGAGAGGACAGGCGTAGGCTCCTGGCCAGGGTTTGGCATGAGTTGGAGCACAGCGTCGCCGTGAGCCTCATCGCCACAAGCCCGGTTGGGCAAAGAAATAAATTCCACCCCGGTGTCGGCCGAGGTTCCAGAGGCGTGTCCCTAACTCTCTCGCTTGGTTTTTTCCACCTTGACGGGGTAGTCTTCGCCCAGGATGGTGTTAATTTCACCCGGCATGAAGGCCCATGGGGTGTTGGTGTTGGCCAGGGGACACTTGTCGCCACTCGGACAATATACCTGGAAGCGACACAACAATTAGTATTCGTTTCGACAAATGATCGGTAAGAGCGGCAGTGATCCGTCCGAGGCGGTTGCAGGGACTCACCTCCTGGCCGGCGCCCTGCCGCTTGATGCTCTCCCGTGAGCACGGGAAGCAGAACTTGTGGTGGGGCACTGACGGGCACTGCACGAAGTGCGTGTCCTCCAGCCTCTCCTGGCAGAGGGTGCACTTGAGGGTGGTGCTGGTGGGGGCGGGGGTGCCCGTCCCGGGCGACGAGTTGGTTCCGTTGGCGGCGGGGTTGGGCGGCGGTCCTGCCGGGTTGCCCGGGGCCTGGGCCGGGTCCGGGGTGCCGCTCGGGGTGCCCGGGCCTCCGTCTACGCCCTGGGGCGCCTCGCTGGACGTCACCGTTGTGGAGCTCACGTGCCGGCTGCCCGATGACCGCCTACCGCTCGCTGATCCTGCGCATCACAACAAGAGAGGACGAGGTTAGTCACGAAGACGGAGATGCCAAGAGACGTGTCACGAAACTGCAGTGCTGCAGTCCACCGGGTCAATGAGAACCCAGGAAAAAGTCGCAATTGATTACACTCATTGTGACTATCCCGAGGGTTCTCGTTTGACCGGGTACGAAGCAGGTGGCTGAAGAAACCCCTGCACTCTCGAGGGTATACTGTACGACACGCACGCGTGAGGGCGGGTTGCCTACTCGCTCTGGGCCACGAGGCGTGGGCGATAGGCAAACCCCGCACGGCCGCATGCGGCGCAGTGTAACTACAAAAGTGGACGGTGTTTTCAGCAACCTGACACATCTCAAAAGTACAAAGGTGGCGAGCCACTACTGTGATCCATTAAGGCAAAATGGTTGGGTTTAGGGTGCTTTACAACAAGCTTTGCAGCTCCAAAATGCTACACTAACAATTGCAGCGTGAATTATGAAAACTTCATACAAGCATACGGTACGTTTTCCGAGTCGAAACTCACGAAAAAGCACAAGCTAGTCTTCTACATGCAGGCAGTGACTTTTTAAGTATAAGTGTCAGCAATACAAGCAAAGGGGAAGTGAAAAATTCGATCAGAATCAATGAGCGGAAAGAAATTAAACAAGAAAATTTAGAGTAACCGTGGTGTGACCTTTACCACAGCAGACAAGGCCAGGGGTCAAGCAATACACGGCAAGGCAGGGAACTCCATGTCGTGGGGCTGAAGTGAGATTGAGCAACGTGGGACGGTTCATTTAAAATGTTTAGCGTGAGTGAGTTGAAAAATAATATTTTAAGAAGACAAGTGAGGTCATTCGAGGTCGTTTCTCGTACTAAGGGCCACCAGACGTTTTACTGGCTCAGTGCAGTGGATGCCCCCGGCTCCGGTTGAGGGTCGTCTGATAGCCCCCAGTTCAAACAACAGCCACGGACGGACGCACTCCCTCTTCAGGGTGTTCAGAGACCGACAGGGTTTATATTTGACATGGAGTTCCCTCCGAAGGCTAGGCAGGGCGAGGCGTGGCAGGGCGGGGTGGCGGGCGGGGCGGGGCGGGGCGCCGGGCGTACCTGTAGAGTTGGGCGAATGCTGCGAGCCCCTCGAGGCGGACCGGGGCACCGCTCCGCGGCCGTCCCCGGGCACCCCGGGCAGCCCCACGACGGGGACGCCGGGAGGGCTGCCCCCCGCGCTCCGCGGCGACCCTGGCGGCAAGTTGTCCGTCACCGACATGAGCGCGGCCATGGGGGAGGGCCCGTTGGGTCCGTTTGGCGGCCCGTTCGCCGGCTGTTGTGGCACGGGTCCGCTGGCTCCGGGGGGTCCCTGGGCGTGGCCGGCGTGGCCCGGGGGCGCAGGCTGGGGTTGGCCTGGGGGGGACCCTGTGCGGGGGCCCATGGGGCCCATGGGGCCCAGGGGGGACACCGCGCCTTGCGCGCCTCCGTTTGCCATCGGGATGCCAGGAGGCATGCCTGCCCCGGGGTAACCTGTCAGCCAAAGCAAGGTTTAGTTGTTTCAGACTCACTCACAGTTTAGGTTAAGGTTTGTTTTTGTTATTATTATAAATTGTAATTGTATTTTATTATTGTTGTTGAGAAGGAAAGAGAGAGAGAGAGTAAAGACAAATGCCCTCTCTGGTTGCGTCGCGTCGGGTTTAAATGAGCCGCGTTAGTGCAGATGTAAGATCTCGAGGGCGTTTAGGGGTTGAGGTCTGGAGCAGAGGAAGAGCGGAGGGATAATCGCGCCGGCGCCGAAATGTAGAGGCTAAGTCTAACAGAACAGTGAGAGGGATAGCAAAAACAAAACTCCACATACACATTCCTAGATATGCGAATATAAAAGAAAGGGTAACCACCAGAGCGACTAGGCCGCCCACTCGTCGGAGCTAAGAGTGTGCTTTTCACGCATAACGCTAAAGGAAAGAAAAAGGTGCGTCTACTCTCTAGCACTCTAGCAGAAGCAATGAACCCATACGTCCCGTCCCGCCCTGGGCGCGGTGCGTGTCATGTACGCGTGCCCTACTGTACGCGGCACCGCTGCAACGTCTACGCAGAGGTCATACGGTGTCGGCGAATGGCGCAGTGCGTGGAAAATGGGAATGAATGAAATATAAAACATGTTTCGAAATGTGCCAGAGTAGCTGTGGAATCAAGCAAGAGGAGCCCATGGGTGGGCGGCGTGGATGGGAGTAGGCGTCACTACGCCACGCCGCTGCCCAAACTCTCACGTCGATTCTCGTGTAGCTCAGCTCTTTTCGGTGTGTTTTGCAGGACGCCGGGGCCGGGCTGGGTTCGCGGACGCGACGCGGAATGGCGGCGGCGTGGCAGCGCTGCCAAAGTGCCCCGGTCGGGTGGCCCCGCCACCACGCCCCGCTGCGCCCCGCGCGCATGCGCCGAACCCGGCCGCTATGGCTGGCTGTGCGGGCCGTGGTGCGGGCTGTGCCCGGCTCTGCGGCGGGGTTGCCACGTCGGGACAGCACGGCAGCGCGTCCTGAGTCACACTCGTCGGCTCGGCTCGACGCTCTCCACCAGAGCGAGGAGGAGGGCGGGGGAGGGGAGGGGCTCGTTATCGCGCTGCTGCTGCACCACGGGCCGCCCGCCCGGCCCCGGCCGACACGGAGCAGCACGAGATAGACTAACCTACCCCACTGCAACAGAGCACGCATTGCGTGGCGTGGCGTAGCGGGACCCCCGTCCTCCCATAGAAACGCCTCGCCGGGGTTGCGCTGCCCCGCATCCTCCTCCCGGTGGTGGTCGGTCCTGACGCCTAACGGGGCTCCTCTCGCCGCGAGGCGCGCCCCACGCGCCCTCTCCTCCGCGTTGATAACGCCCCTGGCCTGCCTCGCAGGCGCCAGCACGGCCATTCACAAGGTGCGTCTGCCTATTTCGGTCCGGGGTCCCGGTGCGGGCCCGCTTCGAGGGGTGGGGCGCGGCCAGCCCGGCGGGAGCACCGCCGATAAGCGGTGATAACGGTCAGGGCGATAGACGGACGCGATCATCATCGGCTCACCTCCGCCCGCCTCGCCACCCGCATCGAGCACGCCGCTGATAGTGGCGTGACGTCACTGTGACGCGGCCCGACCCCGGGACCGCGGCACCCCGGCAACACGACCGCACTGCGCCCGGCCCGCGCGCGGCCCGCCACCGCGGCACGCCACCGGGAGGGGGCGGCGCGGCAACGCCGCGTGACGTGACCATCGCTGCATAACCGGCAGGCTCAGGCAGCACGGCCGGCTGGGCTCTGCGCCGAGTAGCCTGCCTGCCACGCCGGGCTGGGGGCTGAGCCCCCGCCTGCCCCCCAGCCTCGCCTCCCGCGGCCCCCGCGTCCACGTCTCTCGGTCGCTGGGTCTGGCTGGCTTGGCGAGAGCCACCGCCGTCCCGACGCCCCCCTCCATGCCCGCGCCGCCGGAAAGAAGGCCACGAGCATGACGTCAGAGGACGAACGTGCAGGCTGGGTGAGGCCGAGGCGAGGGGCCGCCGCTGCCGCTCTGAACAGGCCTGCTCCCCCCCCCCCTCTCCTCCCTCCCGTTTACACCGCGGAGGCCCCCCCCCCCTCTCCACGGGTCGCTGTTGCCACGTCTAGCGGCCGTGACGTCACGAGCCCGGGGCGCTCAGCACATTCAGCAGGAAAACGCCTCGTGTGGCAACAGCGCGCCCGTGTTTTTATTCTTAATTTGACGAGGCATCCTCACGACGATTCTGCAGAGCCCCCCGGAGTCACGGAGTGGAGAGTGCGTTGCCTCCGTCATCGGCAACCACACGCGAGTCTGATGGCGATGAAGGAACTCCCCTTTGTTTGTCGGCGAGGTGACCAACATCGCCGACCTATCCGCGGCCGGCTGGTCTGCTGCCCCAGGAGCCTCGCAAGGCCGCAGGACAGGCCCACGCGCCCCAATAAGGGTCACAACAACACGGCTCCTTGGGGGTGGGCCGGGTGGGCCCGGGGCTCCGGGGGGTCAACGCCTGGCAGAGAGCAGCGGGGCCGGCAGCGGGCCGGGCCTCGGCTCTACAACGGCCAGCCCGGATTAGCGGGCGCGCGGCTGCGCATGCGTGTTGCGTACGGCGCGGCTGGCGCGGCCGGGCGGGGTGGGGCAGGCGGCCGAGGGCTGGCAGGCGGCGGCGGGGCAGGCGGCCCTACGCTGGGCGAGCTCCAAGGGCAGCGCACCATCCCCCGGCCCACCCCACCGCGCCACACCCCGCCACCCCGCCGCCATCGACCCCCGCGCGTGACGTCACAGCGAGGTGCAGCGGCCGCGGAGGGGAGAGGGGAGGGTGGCGGCCCGGGTGTCCTTGCCGTTCTGGAGGCCGGGGGCCAGGTCATGAATGACGGCGACGGCGCAGCCCGGCGCAGCCTACCCTAACAGCGGCCGAGGCCGTGCGCCGAGCACCCTCGGCACGGCGGCCGGTGCAGCCGCCGGCAGAGGACGGTTGCATAAAGCCAACCCCTGCTAGGGCCTAACGAGGTCGCCGCGCCACCCGGTAGAGACCCGGCTGCGCCGCGTAACGCGTCCAGCAGGAGAGAAAGTCCGGCCCGGCGGCCAGGGGGCCGCGCGGTCCAGAGCCGAGGTTGGAGGCTGGGGCCCCCGCTGCGCGCCCCGGCTCGCCCGACCCGGTCCAGTCGCGCGTCCCGCAGCCAGCAGGACCGGGCTCTGCCGGTTGGAAAGCTACTCGAGAACCTGTTCCGTTCCGTTTCAACAACATCTTACGTGAGAGGAAGAGAGGGAGCGGGCCGCGGGGCTCGCGCGGTGCCGGCATCCTCCGCCAGAGCCTCGCGGCTTACTTTCCGGCCAGTGAACCGGGCCGTCGTGCCGCCGCGACGAGCTGCGCCTGGGGCGACGCCCCAAAAATATTGTGCATTGTGCCGTTGGCTGCCGTTGGCCGGCGGCCGGCCAGGGCCGGTGGGCCGGTGACCGTGTCGCTAAGCGGCCCGCGGCCTGCCTGACTCACTGGCCGGAAGCTTGGGGTGGGGTGCGGTTCACGGCGAATGAATAAGCGAGCAGAGCGCAGGGCGGCCAGGCCAGGGCCGGCCGCGGGTCGCGTGAGGCCGGGCCGCGCGCCACGCACCGCACCTGGTGTGTATCGGTCTGGAGACCCTAACCTAACCGTGGCCGACGTAGGCCCCTCCCCCTCGCGAGCGCGCCCCCGGCTCGGCTCGTCTCCCCCGCCGCTGCGCCGCGAGCTGCGGCCGGGGTGGGTGGCGGCCGCCGGTTCTATTTCGGTTGAGCCCCCCCGGTGGGCCCCCGGCGCCCCCGGCCCCACCCCGTCCCGGTGGGGAGGCACGTGACCCCGGGGCTGACTGGCAGCAGCACGCGGCCGGCCGGCCGGGGTAAACAACGAGTTATCGACGACAGGCCTTGATCCCTGCGAGAGCGGCCGCTAGCGGGGGAGACCGGCCAGGGCCCGCCGCCCGCTCCGCGCACCCATCGGTTCTTCGCCCCCCCTCCCTCCCGACGAAAATAAACGAAGGGCCCAGGGAGAGCGGCGACGGGGCGAGGCCCTCGTGGGGGAGGAGGGGGGCGCCGTGACGCGCTCCCCCGGGGCTGCCCGGCCGGGGCCCCTTCCTCATTACAACCTGCTGCGGGAGCGCCCGCGCCCGGCCAAGTTCACGGTGACGGGAAATGCACCGCTCCTTCCCCTCACCTCTAGACGTCCCATCGAGCCGGGCCGGGCGCCTCTAGGATGGCTGCATAGCGTGACTGCCGACGTAACGCTCCGCGGCACGTAGGGCCGCCGCCGCCGCCGCGACTCAGCCAACCGGCTCCGCTACGCCCCGCCGCGCGCCGCACCGACTGCATCCAGTCCGGTCCTTCCACTCTGCACGGGGCGTGGAAGGACCGGGTGGAGTGGAGGGGATCGAGCGGGGCAGACTTTGAGAACTTGCATCGGTTTAATTGCACCCCCGCACCTGCAGCATTACGGGCGATGACTCGCAATCGTCGGGAGGAGGGTTTGGGGGGCCCACCCCGACCACGACGCGGCGTCCCCGCGGAACCCTCTCGACCTCTCCGCGCCGCGCCCCACCGCGCCACGCCGTTGGACCGAGGCCAGGGGCGCAGTCGGCACAATGCTGTCGTCGGCGCGGCGGAGGCGGAGGTGCTGTGCTCGGCTCGGCGCAGAGGTGAACCGGTGCCTCAAGAATGTTGCCGAGACGGGGCGCGGCGTGGCGATGCTCGGCGGCGAGGGCCGCGAGCACCCGAGAGGGCCCACGGGCCGGTCGCCCCGCGGGCTGGGAGAGCCGTCGCGGGGCGCCTCTCGCTTCCCATCCGGTCGCCTCACCGAGCCGCCCACCCGCCGTCACGCGCCGTCCCCGTGGCCCCGAGCAGCGCGTGGGCGACCACACGGCCTCACCGGACCTGGCCCGACTGTACCCGACCGGCGACTGTACCCGCGCGAGGCGAGGTCTACGTACATCCTAGAGGCGGCGCGGGCCTGGGGGGCGGGACGTGCAGCCACCAGAGTGTTGTTAGCAGGGCGGGTGGGTACATAGGCATCGACCGGGCCGGCCTGTTTACCGCCCCATCTACATTTGGCACGATAACTGGTTTCCCTCGACGCGGGGCTGCGGGCGAGGCGGAGCTGCTCCTCCCCGCCACAACCAAACCGACGAGCAGGCGCTGCGTGCTGCGGGGTGGGGCGAGCGAACGAGCCAGGATTTCGTCGGAACCGGTTGTCGATGGAAATGAACCAGCCGGCTGTGCTGCTGAGGCGAGGTGCGCGCAGAGAGGCTGCGATGTTGCTGCCGTGGCTGTACTACACAGACCCAGACCCGTTCGCCCTGCCTCATCGCGTCCTTACGGCAGGTGTTCCGTGCCGACGACGGGGAGCGCGGGGCACAAGTCGAGCACGACGAACTCCACGCGACCGGGAGCGGGGTCGCGCCGGGTGACCACAACACCACCCCGCGGCCACCCCCCGGCGGTGTGTGACTCGAGGGGGCGCGGGCGGGGCGCGCCGGGCAGTGCGTAGGGGAGGGGGAGGGCCTCGTAACAGGCGCCGATCTACCCCTGCCGCCACCCTCCGAGCCCAGCTGGGAGTGACGTAACCCGGCGGCGGCTCGAGCGGGCCGTGATCCGCACGTGCACGCCGACGCCTGCTCCCCCTCCAAAGGCTTTCCAGCTGACGCGTGTTCCCAAGTCCCCCGTCGACCAGAAGCACCGCCTCTCCCCCTAAGGAAGCGCGCGGCGTGCGCCCGGAAGCAGCCCGACTGGCCGAGGGGGAAGGGGAGCCCGCCTCCTCCTCACGGTGTCCTGGGGAGAGGAAGCGAGTCCCTCGCCAAGACGAGGGGAAGGAAGTGGCGGGAGAGAGAGAGAAACAGCCGAAGTCGTCTCCGCCCGGGGGGAGGGGGGGGGTCCGGGTCGCGTCAAGACGTGAAGCTCTCCGCCCCGCGCCCGCGCGGAGTCGCGGTCGGTCCAGGACGTCAGTAACAGACAGGACTGCTGCACTGCGGAGCACCGAGGGGCGACCTCGGCGATAGGGAGACGGCAAGCTGCCAGCGGCACGTCACGTCAC